ATACATTATAGCTCAGACTTGATTCATCTTAGAGCTGAAAGTTTGCACCCTTTTATCAATCTCTCCCTATTTCCCCCACCTACCAGCCCCTGGCAACCACTTTCCCTACCCTTTGTTTCTATGAGTTTGACTTTTTTTCTTAAGTAGTTTTATTTATTCATTGGCTGCGCTGGGACCCTGTGGCAGCTCCGGCTTTTCTCTAGCTGTGGTGAGCGGGGCTACTCTAGTTGGCGGTGTTGGGGCTTCTCATTGTGGTGGCCTGTCTTGTTGCGGAGTACAGGCTCTGGGGCACATGGGCTTCAGTAGTTGTGGCTTTGGGGCTCTAGAACCCAGGCTCGATAGTTGGGGCGCATGGGCTTAGTTGCTCTGCGGCATGTGGGATCTTCCCTAACCAGGGATCTAACTCGTGTCTTCTGCATGGGCAGATGGATTCTTTACCACTGGGCCACCAGGAAAGCCCCGACTTTTTTTTTTTTTTTTAATTTCACATATAAGTGATACCATTCAACGTCTGTCCTTCTCTCTCTGACATTTTGCTTGGCAAATGCCCTCAAGGTATATTCATGTTGTCCCAAATGGTTGGATAATACTCCGATATATACTCCCCTTGGAGAAGGAAATGGTAACTCACTCCAGTATTCTTGCCTGGAGAATCGCATGGACAGAGGAGTCTGGCAGGTATAGTCCATGGGGTTGCAAGAATCGGATATGACTTAGTGACTAAATCACATACTCAGACATTTAGGTTGTTTCTGTGTCTTGGCTATTGTGAATAATGCTGCAATGAACATGGGAGTGCAGATGTCTCTTTGAAATTCTGTTTTCATTTCTTTTGGATATACACCCAGAAGTGGGTTTGCTTGATCATATGGTTGTCCTATTTTTAATTTTTGAGGAAGCTCTGTACTGTTTTCCATAGTGGCTGCATTAATTTACATTCTCATCAACAGGGCACAATGCATCTCTTTTCTCCATATCCTGCCAACACTTAGCTCTTGACTTTTTGATGACAGCCATTCTAACAGATGTGGGGTGATATCTCATTGTGGTTTTGATTTGCATTTCCCTGCTGATGTTGAGCATCTTTCCATGTATCTGTTGGCCATTTGTATGTCTTCTTTGGAAAAACATACGTTCAGTTCCTCTGGCCATTTTTCCATTGGAATTTTTTGGCTATTGAGTTGTATGAGTTCTTTATATATTTTGGATATAAAACCCTTATCAATTATGATTTGCAAATATTTTTCTCCCATTCTGTAGATTATCTTTTCATTTTGTTGATGATTTCCTTTGCTGTGCAAGAAAGCTTCTCAAAATTTTAAGCATCACTTTGGCAAAGACCTCAGGCAAGTATCATAGGATTCCCAGAGAGTATCTTTACCGCAACCTACTTATCCATCCTTCTTTGGTTGGACACTGGGATTGCTGCCACATGAATAGCCTGGCACGAGCCTCCCTCCACATACATTTGACCTCAATGGAGCTACCACCTCTGTGCCAAAAAAGCCACTGACCCAGGCCAGCAATGCACTAGGGTGCAATTTCCTCACTTCACTGACAACTCCTCAACTTGTCAGACTTCTCAGTTTTTTACTTAGCCACACAGTTGTTCAGGATAAGACAAAACAAAACAAGCAACCCGGAGCCCATATCCTCAAGGATAAATCTGAAACCATCCTCTCTCCATACCTTCTCCTGTATTCACCCACTGCCTCTCACCCCTGCTACTGCAAGAGCCACCCAATGGGTTTTGATCCCTTCTGGTCCAACCCACACACAGTGGAGGAGTGCTTTTTTAAAAAAGAAAAAATCAAGTATTTTGAAAAATGAGACAAGAGAATAATAAGACACCCATGTGCCCACTTCATCAAATACTCACTTTTTCCATTTTTAACATTTTGTTGTACTTACTTTTCATCCAGGTTTTTATACTTTTCCTACAGATTTATGGTATAACCATAACCATAAACAATATAGAGAATCACTTTGCATATTTTGAAATTTTCATAAAAGGCATCAGACAGCATGCATCCTTCTGCAACTTGAATGATTCAGACACTGTGTTAAGGGCATCTGCATTGATATATGTAGCTCTTGTTCATTTACTTTAACTGCTGACTGTACTCGGTTATAAGGATACATCACGATTTATCCATTCTCCTGTTATTCTGTTTTTTTCATTGTTACAAACAGTGCTGGGGTGAGCATTCCTGTTTACAGTCTTTTATGCATATGCATAATGATTACCCTAGGGAATATGCCTGTGAATAGAATTGTTGGCTCTAAGGATTTACCCCTAAGCTCTGCTAGATTTTGCCAAATTGCTCTTCAAAAGAGATTATACCAGTTTACATACCTAAAAGTGTAAACATGCAGTAATATTAAATGTTTAATATCTGACAAGGTTAAGATGTGCATTTAATGTGCAATTTCCTGATTAACTTTGACATCAAGCCATTTTTCAGATTGCATAGTGACCTCTTGGGCTTCCACTTCTGTGAAATGCCTATTTGCATCATGTGCCATTTTTAAATTCTGTCTTTTTAAGAAATTGATCTGTAGGACTTTTAAAATATATTCTAGATGCTAACTCATTGTTGGTTATTTACATTGCAAAAAAAAATCTGTCTTGTCTCTAATTGTGTTCATAGTATCTTTTGTTGTACAAAAGTTCTACATTTTAATGAGGCTGAATTTATCATTTTTTGTAAATGGGAGGTTTTGTGTCTTGTTTAAAACACCCTCCTTAAAAAACTGAAATCCTTCCCTTCCTAACTGGAGATCAAAGATACTTTACTATATTTCCAAGAATTATGAAGTTTTGCTTTTCACATTGAAGTCAACATAGAATTTTTGTATGGTATCTGTGAAGATTGATTATCCCATAAATATAATAATTTGTCCCAGCATCATTTATTAAATAGTTCTTCTCTTTCCCACTAATGTGGGAAACCTTGCTCATTTATCAAGTTTCCAAACATGAGAGGGTTTATTTTCTGGACTCTAGCCTATTCTAAGCTATGGAGTTACTTTTCTGTCTTTGGGCTAATGCCTCACTGTCTTACTATAACTTTATAGTAAAACTTCATATCTTTTATGGAAAGTCCCCTTCACCCCTTGCCCCTTGTTATGCCTCTTCACAATTGCTTCAGCTCTTCTTCTGGGTGTTTTTTTTTTTTTTTTTGTCTTTTTTTTTTAGGCAAGGGAGGTCTTCCACATTAACATTAGAATAGGCTTGTCAAGTTCCACGAAAAAAAAAAAAAATTCAGAGGAAATTTCATTTGTACTGCATTGAATTTATAGATTAAATTCAGAAGAGATGACATCTTTACGATAGTATCTTCCAACCTATGAATATTATCCATGAACATTATAAAGAAAATCTCCCTTTATTCAGATCTTCTTTTATATCCTTCAACAATAATTTGTCATTTTTCTCCATAAAGGTCTTGCACGTCTTGTTAGATTTATTCCTAGGTATCTCAAAGTTTATTGCATTGTGAATTACTTTTTTATTGTATTTTCTAATTGGTTATTACATATGTATAGAAATAGTATGAATTTTTCTAAGTTGACCTCTTTCAGCATTTCTGAGTTCTTTTATTAATTCTATTTATTTTTCAGGATATTTTCATGGTAAAGAATTTCTGGAGGACTTTGCTGGTGGTCCAGTGGCTAAGACTCTGTGTCCCAGTGCAGGGGATCCAGGTTCGATCCCTGAGGAGGGAATTAAATCTCGCATACCACAACTAAAGATCTCACATGCTGCAACCAAGACCTGGCAGAGCCAAAATAAATAAAAAGTTGTTTGTTTGTTTGTTTTAATTTCTGGGACTTCTAAAAGAGGCAGCCTAGATGCTGTGATAAGACTTGTGGCCACAGTTATAATTATCTTGCCAAAATGGTTCTTATTCACAGCTGGGATTGCAAGTTGCCAAAACGGTTCTTATTCACAGCTGGGATTGCAAGAAGCAAGGGAAACCTTTAGGGGACCATATAGGCTGAAACCAAAGTGTGAAATTATAAGCACACAGGAAAGATGGGATGGCCTTGAGTGCCAATGTCCACGTATCTTGTGCAACAAGATAAACTTTGTAAGACTAAACTTTCAGCCAATAACAGGAGGAGCCAAACCCAAACCCCTTGCAATAAGCTTGACCTTTGAAAAATGACTAAAGTGCCCACAGCTGGGTTGGTACATGCCTTGGCATCTAGAAAAAGCAAATGCAAATCTTCCTTAGAGAAAGTCATCTTCAATTAAGGCCCAAAGATTTCCACAAATTAATATCTTTCAATGTGAACTCACAGTAAAAGATCTCTGGAGACACAAGGAAGAACTCCCATTAGTGAAAGTCAAGAGAAAAACCAACAATTGAGTTAGGTACTTAAGGAAACTGGGTATTGAAATCATTAGATAATGTAACTGTGTAGCAGGTATATAAAGAAATGAGAGACTGAGTCATGAAAATAGGCCAGCATTGAAAGACTATCAAAATTGGAAAGAGTTGCAAGTACTGATAAGCACATAGCACTTCTAGAAATGAAAAATATGATTTTAAAATTAAAAAGTTAGAGTGGGGTGAATAGCAGATTAGAGACCCAATTGAAGACTTAGTTGAAGAGAACATTAGTGAGCTGGAAGAGAAATATGAAGATATTACCCAATAATTCAGCACAGACTAGAACATAGAAACTATGGAAAAGATTAAGAGATATGAAAGAGTTTGGTTTATATCTGACAAGGGTTCAAGAGGAGAAAATAGAATAGAGGAGAACAGAAGAGATAATAGCTGAGAATTTTCTAAAACTGATTAAAGACATCAGTCTTTATTGTTTCTGAGCAGGGTGAACTAAAAAGAAAAAAGCCACTCCTAATGTGTTGGAGGGAGTGTCCATGCATTCAACACTTCACCCTTCAAAAGGCTAATTCTTCTCCCCTTGAATGTGGGCTTACTTTTTGACTTCCATGTTTTCTATTTTATCTCTTTGTCTTAACGCAGAGGAAAGGTCATATGAGGATGCAGCAAGGAAACAGTTGTCTGAAAGCAGAGGAGGAAGGTCTCAGCAGAACCCAACCATGCTGGCACCTTGATCTTGGACTCTCAACTTTCAGAACTGTCAGAAAATAAATTTCTACTGTTTCAGACACTTAGTCTATGGTATTTTGTTACAGCAGCCTGAGCAGATTAACACAATAAGAATTGTATTTCTTTTCTTTTAATAATTATCTTTACATTTTAATATGCATTTTAAATTATAAATTTTTCTAGCCATGTCAAAAATTCCATACTTCTAATCTCTTAAACACAAGCCCATTAGTTTATTTTAACCACCAGTGAACACCACTCTTCCTTATGACTTAATTGTTTTATAAAGTTTGTTTCACTCTTTTAAAGTCCCCAAAATTTTCTTTTTAAAGTTCACTAACTTCACTAATACATTTTATTGATGTCTGTGCTCTCCATTGTTTATCACATCCCATGTCTTCCTTCTAGGTTCATTTTTTTTCTTGCTGAATTACTTTTTCTTGTGGTGAACAGCTGTGGGAGGTAAATTCTCTTTAACTTTGTGTGTCTGGAAATATCTTTATTTTCTCTTTGTTGCTGCATGATAATGTAGCTGCAGATAAACTCACAGCATTAAAGAATTCACGCCTATTGTCTTCTGGCAGACATTTCTATTGATGGGAAGTCTGCTGACAGTCTAACGGACATGGCTTTAGGTGTTTTTTATCTTTTCTTCATAATAGCTGCTGTGGTCTGAATGTTGCAAGTCATATGTTGATATTCCAACCCCCAAAGGTGATGGCATTTGAAAGTTGGTTCTGGGGAGGTACTTATATCATGAGGTTGGAGCCCTTATGAATGGGATTGCTGCTGTTTAGTTGCTAAGTTGTATTTGATTCTTTGCGACCCCATGGACCATAGCCTACCAGGCTCCTCTGTCCATGGGATTTCCCAGGCAGGAATACTAGAATGGGTTGCCATTTCCTTCTCCAGGGGATCTTCCTGACCCAGAGATGGACACCATCTCTCCTGCATTGGCAGGAGGACTCTTAGGGACTTAGACGCTTCAGAGAGATCTCTTGCCTCTTCCACCATATGAGTATATGACAAGTTCTGTGACCTAGAGAGAGCCCTTACCTAACCATTCTGGCACCCTGACCTCAGACTTCCAAATGGGCCCAGAATTGTGAGAAAGCAATGTCTATTCAGTCTATGGTAATGTATTCTAGCAGCCTAAGAGGACTAAGACAATGGATTTTCTGATTTCTTGCTATTTTTCATCTTCTAAGTTTCAGTACAGTGTGTCTAGGTGTGGACCCATTTTTATTAACCTTGTTTGGCACCTTGAATGCACTTATGTCCACTTCAATCTAGGAAATTCTCAGTTTTCTTTCTCTAGATATTACTTCTCCCTTCTTGCCTTCTGGGACTTCTCTTTTCATGCACTGGAGCCTCTTATCACACGTGTGTCTTAATTAGCTTTTATTTAAATCTCTTCGTTCTCTGCTGCATTCTAAGCTATTTCTTTTGTACTATCTTCAAACTCACTAATATTGCCTTTGTTTCAATTGTGGAATCTATTCTATCACATTTTTTAATGGCTAATTTTTTTTTCTCATGTCCAAGATGTCTACTTCTTGGCTCACTTTTACCTATTAGAATGTATTTTTCTTTTTTAAAATTTTTATTTAATAGGTGTTATCCTTTCAACCATCTTCTTGAGCTCCTTCAACACATTTATTCTTAAAAAACTGTCAACAACAAAATTTTGTAAAGCAATTATCCTTCAATTAATAAATAAATTAAAAAGAAACTAGTCTATAAATTAATGCCAACTGCAATGAACTGTCTTGATTCATTGCTTTTGTTGTCTTTTTTAGCATTAAAATTCCTCATGTGTTTTATAATTTCCAATAGAAAGGGTCATCGGGTTTCTCCCCCCTTTCTCTCTTTGGCACTTCTTGTTACAGTCTCTACCTGGCTGACACCTGGAAACCTCAGCTCCTAACTGAATCTTCCAGTAAATCATTGCCCTTACATCTGCGGGGAATGTTAATGGGAATGAATGGACAATAAATACAATCTATAATACATCAGGTGGTAATAAGTGCTACAGAGAAAGTAAAGCCAGGTAAGGGATTTCATTTCAGCAAGACTCTTGTGCTTCCAGGATGCAGGCTGAAGCCAGGGTATAAGGGTGCTAGAGAACAGAGTCCATTCTGGGGCCTAGCTCGGCTCTCTGACCCAACCCTATGGTGCAGCTATCTCTCACCTCTGGCAACACTGATGTTCAGACTTATCTGAGAGCCATGCACTTCAGAATGTGCAGGGAGCAGAGAACTGGGTCCTCCATAAGATTCACTCTGAAGTGGAGCAAGGGGACTTCCCTCCTTGCTCCCAATGCAGGGGCCCTGGGTTCAATCCCTGGTCAGGGAACTCAATCCCACTTGCTGAAACTAAGAGTACGCATGCCACAACTGAAGATTCGGCATGCCGCAGTGAAGATCAAAGATCCTGTTGCCGCAACTACTTAATAAGCACATAATTCTGTTTTTTAAAGTGGAGCAAGGGGTCAGAGGCAGAGCCTGGATGAGGTGAGGTGAGTGATAAGGGAGCAGCCCTCCTGGGTGTGGGTCCCCTGCTGAGGGGACCACCTGCATGCAGAGACCGGGAGCTGCTCGCAAGGCTGAGCCAAGAGTGCCTCTGGAGACAGACGAGCTGATGGGCTGTAGGCTGCGCAGCTGGCTTGGGGCAGAGAGAGGGGAGAAGCAAGGAGTCATCCCGGGACCTCAGCAAGGACCCAGAGAGCCTCTGAGAAAGGGGAGTGGGTGGGAGATGTCTCGGTCCTGCCCAGGGCAGCCTGGTCCCAGGGAGGACATACTGTCTCCAGTAAGCACACATGAGCCTGGCCCTGGGTGCAGGCGCTGCTCCAGATGAGTAAAGCAGCCACTGCCTTTGAAGGGCTGACACCTACTGATAATGAGACGGTGACCTACTCCGCCACAAGGAAAAGATACCACAGCAATCCCAACTGAGGTTAGTTAAGATGTGCCAGTTCTGGTTCTAAGGTCTTAGAGTGTCTCTCAGCTACTCATATGGTAGATAGGTCTCATTTAATGGTGTAACCGGGAAGAAAAGGAGGATTAAATAGGAACTCCCTGGTGGTGCAGTGGATAAGAATCTGCTTGCCAATGCAGGGGGCTTCCCAGGTGGCACTAGTGGTAAAGAACCTGTCTGCCAATGCAGGAGACATAAGAGACAGGGGTTTGATCCCTGGGTTGGGAAGATCCTCTGGAGGAGGAAATGGCAAGGTATTCGTGCCTGGAGAATTCCATGGATAGAGGAACCTGGTGGGTTACAGTCCGTGGGATCACAAAGAGTTGGACATGACTGAAGCAACTTAGCATGTGCCAGTGCGGAGGATAGGGGTTTGATTCCTGGTCTGGGAAGATTACCAGCTGAGCTACGAGGGAAAGATCTTCATGACCCAGATAACCATGATGGTGTGATCACTCACCTAGAGCCAGATACCCTGGAATGCGAAGTCAAGTGGGCCTTAGGAAGCATCACTATGAACAAAGCTAGTGGAGGTGATGGAATTCCAGTCGAGCTACTTCAAATCCTAAAAGATGCTGCTGTGAAAGTGTTGCACTCAGTATGTCAGCAAATTTGGAAAACCCAGCAGTGGCCACAGGACTGGAAAAGGTCAGTTTCCATTCCAATCCCAAAAAAGGCAATGCCGAATAATGTTCAAACTACCACACAATTGAACTCATCTCACATGCTAGTAAAGTAATGATCAAAATTCTCCAAGCCAGGCTTCAACGTGAACCATGAACTTCCAGATGTTCAAGCTGATTTTAGAAAAGGCAGAGGAACCAGAGATCAAATTGCCAACATCTGTTGGGTCATAGAAAAAGCAAGAGAATTCCAAAAAAACAGCTACTTCTGCTTTCTTGACTATGCCAAAGCCTTTGACTGTGTGGATCACAACAAACTGTGGAAAATTCTTAAAGAGATGGGAATACCAGACCACCTTACTTGCCTCCTGAGAAATCTGTATGCAAGTCAAGAAGCAACAGTTAGAATTGAACATGGAACAACAGGCTGGTTCCAAACCAGGAAAGGAGAATGTCAAGGCTGAATATTGTCACCCTGCTTATTTAACTTATATGCTGAGTACATCATGCGAAATGCTAGGCTGGATGAAACACAAGTTGGAATCAAGATTGCTGGGAGAGATATCAATAACCTCAGATATGCAGATGGCACCACTCTTACGGCAGAAAGTGAAGAAGAACTAAAGAGCCTCTTGATGAAAGTGAAAGAGGAGAGTGAAAAAGTTGGCTTAAAGCTCAATATTCAGAAAACTAAGATCATGGCATCTGGTCTCATCACTTCATGACAAATAGATGGGGGAAACAATGGAAACAGTGAGAGACTTTATATTTTTGGGCTCCAAAATCACTGCAGATAGTGACTGCAGCCATGAAATTAAAAGATGCTTGCTCCTTGGAAGAAAAGCCATGACCAACCTAGACAGCATATTAAAAAGCGGAGACATTACTTTGCCAATAAAGGTCCGTCTATGGACCAAACCAACCAAAGTTATGGTTTTTCAAGTAGTCATGTATGGATGTGAGAGTTGGACTATAAAGAAAGCTGAGCGCTGAAGAACTGATCTTTTTGAACTGTGGTGTTGGAGAAGACTCTTGAGAGTCCCTTGGACTGCAAGGAGATCCAACCAGTCCACCCTAAGGGAAATCAGTCCTGAATATTCATTGGAAGGACTGATGTTGAAGCTGAAGCCCCAGTACTTTGGCCACCTGATTGAAAGAACTGACTCACTGGAAAAGACCCTGATGCTGGGAAAGATTGAAGGGAGGAGGAAAAGGGGACGACAGAGGATGAGATGGTTAGATGGCATCACTGACTTGATAAACATGAGTTTGAGTAAGCCCGGGAGTTGGTGATGGACAGGGAAGCCTGGCGTGCTGCAGTCCATGGGGTCGCAAAGAGTCAGGCACGACTGAGCAACTAATACAGGGCAACTAGGACCCTGCGCACAACTATTGAGTCCACACTG